AGAAATTCAGACAGCGGCTTCTTCCTAGCCAAAGGTATGCACCTTACCTCGACCTCGATTAATGGGTTTACCTCATCTAAAGGATTCTGAATTATGTATTTGCAAGAGTGTATTCGCCCCACCTAAAAGTTAAAACGATAATCTATTAAAACACAATGGAAACGGAATTAACAGTGTATTAAGCAATTAATTAACAATGGAAACGACATTACCTTGCCCAGGAAATCGTTGAGAAATTCAGACAGCGGCTTCTTCCCCTTTTAAGCCTAACCAAAGGTATGCACCCGACCTCAACCCCGACTAATGGATTTACCTCACCTAAAGGATTGTGAACTATGTATTTGCAGGAGTGTGTTCACTCCACCTAAGAATTAAAACGATAATTCACTGAAACACAATAGAGACGGAACTGATAGCGTATTAATTAATAATGGGAACGATATTACCTTGCCCAGGAAATCGTTGACAGCGGCTTCTTCCCTTTCAAGCCTAACAAAGGAGTGGGTTCACCTCACCTAAAAAATTAAAACAATAACTCATTGAAATACAAAGAAAACAGAGCTAGCAGCGAACTAAGCGATTAATTAATAATGGAAACGAAATTACCTCGCTCCGAAATCATCAAGAAACTTAAAAAGCAGCACCCCCTTTTCAAGTCTAACCAAAGGAATAGGTCTACCCCACAAAAATTAAAATGATAAATTACTGAATGGGAATACAATTGATAACGCCCTAAACAACTAATAAATGACACAGACAATATCACTTCACCCAGAGGATCGTCGAGAAAATGAAATGAAACAGCGGCTTCTCCTTCAGGCCTAACCAAAGGCACGCACCTGACCTTGACCTTGTCAAATTGATCTACCACACTTTAAGGAGTGTGAACTATTTATCTGCAACAGTATGCTCGCCTCATCTAACAAATTAAAACGATAATTAATCGGAAATAATGGAAACGAAATCGATAGCGTACCAAACAATTAATTAACAATGAAGACGATATTACCCTATACAGAAAATCGTTGAGAAATCCAGACAGCGGCTCCTTCCTTCAGAGCTAAACAACGGAGTGCGCTCACCTCGCTTAAAAATCAAAACGACAAATCACTGAAATGGAAACGGAATTCATAACGCTCTAAACAACTAATAATAATGACGGAGATGATATTACCCTATTCAGGAAATTGCGGAGAAAATTTAGACAACGGTCTCCCCTTCTGAGCCTAATCAAAAGGTATACACCTGAACTTGACCCTGGCAAACGAGTATACTTCAACCAAAGAATCGCGAACGATACACTTGAGAGAACCCGCTCACCTGGCCTAAAATTGAAAATGTAAAATTATTATTCGAACGGAATTGGATTGGATTTAATAAAACTGTAATAATCAATTAGTGGCATGTTTTCTATAATACAAACCTGACCGAGGACCTTTAAACTTTGACCTTGAGGATACGGTACTTAGAAATTGTGGAGAGCCTGAGACAGCAATCGCTTCTTTCACGCCCAACTAAAGGCATACACCTCGACCCTGATAAACAGATTCACCTCACCCAAAAAAGATCTTGAATTCCACATCTATAGGGGGATGCTCACCCTGCCTAATCGAATTAAAAACGATAAATCACCGAAATACACTTGAAGTCAGAACTGGTTACGCTACGACTATTGATTTAACGGCGTTTTTCCCAATGTAAATCCATCGGAGAACGTAAAACCTTTCACCCTGACAAGGTGATCTTACCTTATTTGGAGGATAACGAAGAGCTAGTCGAAACAAT